TCTAAACAGTTACATAGTTATTTCTTTAAATTAAAGAAATGCAGCACTTTTCTATAAAGAAACTAAATTAGCATTATTTGGTTTCACTTTTTTTTCCAATACTGTATGTATATATAAACTTAAAAGTTATGGTATACAAAATGCTAATTTTCCCTGGTTTAAGAGTTGTTCGACGAATAAGAAGCTTTATATAGTGAAGGATGAAGGAAAAACCATTTATGAGACACTTAAATGTGGTGTTTCTCAAGGATCGTTTTTAAAAAAACTTCTTTTTCTCGTTTTTGTAAAAGATTTAAATAAATTTTTAAATATCTAATTTACAATTTTGTTTGCAGATGATACCAACTTGTTTTATTCCAATAATGATATCAATATAGTGTTTCAAACAGTAAACAAAAAACTAAACAAACTAACCTTATGGTTTACATCAAACAAGTTATCTTTAAATATTACTAAAACAAAATACACTTTATTTCTTTTTCTGCATAAAAAACTAAGTATTTCTTTAGAACTTTGTGACCTTTTTATTGATAATCAATTAATATAGAGAGAGGTGTGTTTTTAGGTGTGTTTCTATACAAAAAAGAAACCCGGAGGGAATATCTACGTGTAGTTGAATATAAAATTTTGAAAAACTTAGGTATATTGTAGAGGCCTAAGCATTTATTGTATCAATTGTGTTTAAAAACATTTATTTTTAATTTATTCTTTGCTATACAAGTCATGCGAACATTGCTTAGTGTATCACGAACGTAACGAAAATAAAAAAATTTCGTAGCAAACAAAAACAGGTTTTAAGAATAGTTTCAAACGCAAATCGTTTCTTGCACTATTTAATGAACTCAATATTCTAAATGTTTAAAAAATCAACATTCATCATGTTTTTATTTTCATGTTCAAACTTGATAAATATAAATATATTACCAATCTTATTTTATTTAATTTTTGAAAAATTAAATTATATATATTCTACGAGATTTTTAAAATAGAATTACATCCAATTCAAAACTTTATATTCCGCTACTAAGTTCTCTATTGTAAACCGAAGAGCAAAGTTGTGGAATAAAATGTTATATAATTAACTGGAAACAAATTATTCTCTAAACCAATTTAAAACAAATCTTAAGCAAATGCTTTTGTTACTGAAAAGGAATAAAATTTTTTCACATAAAGCTTCTTTAAGTTAGAAACCAATCATAAACAGGAAATTAACCACATTACTCCAGATTATTAATACGTAATTATTAAAACATATAATATTTATAACTAAATAAGTTAAACTATAAATTGCTCCAACAATAAAATGTTTTTTATATAAAATCAAATCTTCATATTTTTCAAACCAGTTTTTAAATATTATTTTGTCATATTAAAATTTTATTAAACTTTGTTTCTTATATTATACAAAAAAATTGTTAAGTCATAATCTTTGAAAAACTATAACTTTTAAATGCTATGCAATATATTTACTTTTCCTTTATGATATTAAATTAGAGATATATACATTAAAAACAAATTTCTGTTAACCTATATTTTATCTAGTAATATGACATTTTTAGGGGCTTTATGATAAGACTAAATTTATATATATGTATATATTTATAAATTTTAACAAAAAATATTTTGTATATTTTTTATATATTTATATTAATGCTGGTTTTGTTTTGGAAATATTTCACTCTCTTCCAACATAAGCAATATTGTTTACTATAATATGTTCTAATAGAAAGTTGTTTTTTCACACTGTTCTCCTTTTGAATTAAATATAATTAATATCAAATTTATTTAAAAGATTTTAGTACCTTTAGTATACATTTTTTATAAAACGTCTTAACATACCTAGTCCCTTCACTATACAGAACAGTACAATTGATATCAATTCAATCATTAAAACCTAAAATGATAAAGAAATTAAAAACTTGCAATTTAGATTTTCAAAAAAAATGCAACTTACAATGAAAACGAGTACAGTAACTATAACAATTTAAAACATGTTCAGTAACTTCCAAAAATAAAAATTAAAAGTACCGTAACTAACTTTTAGTATACCAAGTATAAAATAATAATTTAGTTTTTTGATGCAGTAATACACCAGTTGTGTTTGTAATATATTCATAAAATTTATATAATCATAAATTATTTACTACTGGAATGAAAAAACACTCAATAGTTTGTAGGATCTTAATTTCTATAAATACTCACCAGAATAACTCTTACAAGTATTCTGAAATTCCTTTTTTTTTTTTAATTTCTCATTTTTTATCTAAAACTCTTAAATAGTTGATTGCATTTTAATAGAACTTTAATTAAAATGGAACTTTTTATTACTGGCTATTTACTTTTATTTTCATTGTAAAAATATCAAATTATTTAAATTAGTTAATACGGCATTATGATCTGAACATGGAAATCATTGTATATACCCATACCAAATGAATTTCCTTCTACTTGTGAAACTGCTACCAAGGAAACGTTATACTTTAACATTGCATTTGCTCAAAGTGTGTTTTTTGTAGACTATATAATTAAGGTAAACATATTTATCAAGATATTAAAATAAAGATATTATAAATATTCATATTTTGACTTAAGCCCATTATAGTTAAAAGAAAAAGTTTATATAGTTAAACCAAAAAAAACCTATAAGGGTAAAAGGTATAACTTTCAAAAATCATGAAAAGATGCTGTTATTTGAAAGTAGTAGCTCATGATGAGATTATGTACAATCTATTCGGCCATTATGTGTGGAGTTTGAATGAGCATTCTCTGCCAAACGATTTGAACATAAAAACCGCTGGAATTTTATGTTCAAAAAGTTTATTACAATTAAGCAATAAAACGATTAACATTTTTTAATTTTCAGGGTATCACTTAAAAAATAAATTTAACTTTAGTATATTCATATATTTTTATATTATTTTCAGTTATACTTTTATTTCTTCTATGTAATCATTTTAAGGTATTGTTTCATAGTTTAAATTATGTCGTATTTTTAATGAATGAAGTATTTTAGTTAAATTATCATTATATTATAAATTTTTAATTGTTTAATGAGTACATAAATTTTTAGTTTTTTTAGGCTATACTTTCTGCAGTTTTTTTTTTTTTTATTCATATCCCGAATTACCGGAATTAAAAATGTCCTGAGTTTTTGCCATCTCTAATTTACATATAGAATTGTATAATTTTAATAAATGTTAAAAAAAGTTGATTTTTTTTTGTAGATTAAGTCAAGTCTAGTTATTTCGTTGAGAGTTTTGTAATAAAGGAAAGCAAATTGGATTTGCTTTCCTTTTCTTTGTTAAATTTTTTTTCAAACTTGTCTCTTTTTTCATATTGAACAATTATATATGATTATATGAACTAATAAAATAAGGCTGTCTAACGTTTATTCCTATTTAGGTTAAGCTATACACTACAATAATTAAAAACAGCTTTTACCATTTGTTGCAGTCAGTTGAGTAGCTACGTCTGCAGACGGCTAAAAGAAACATTTACGCTAAAAAAGGATTAGTCAGTGACTAAACTTCCAGAATTTACAGCTCTACAATTGACTGCAGTAACCCTTTGGAATTACATGTCTTATTTTATCATAAATGTTGAAAACCTGTTTCTGAGACCAGAAAACTGTTACTATCTCAATTTTCAATTTTTTGACAAATCTTCTTTTAACATGACCCGTTCAACTGTATTTTATCAGTTAATATATTTCTCCCAATAGATCAATAGATTTGTATCATTTTATTCCGTTAAAACGTTGTATAAATACAATACTTTTGGTATAGACTTAGTAAATTGATTGTTTCTTTCCACAATTTTATTTCCTTCAGAATGATTGTTTAAAAACTGTTTGAAAATAGTTCTTTTAAAATGTGATATTATTAAACTGTTTAAAAATAGTACTTTAAAAATTTTAGAGAAAACACTTTGTGCTGCTTTTACACAAAGTATAAAATACAGTATTCAAACTATGCCAGCACTTTTATATGAACTTAGCAGTTGTTGCAACAACCCATATTTTAACTTTCTGCAATTTGTTAGACATAAAATCTTTTTGGTACCAAAATACACGATATCAACTCAGCTAGCACGTTGGTAAAAAAATAAAACAGTGTTGCAAATTGTATTTGCGCAACATCAATTGTTAACATTATTATCATTTTTTATTGATTAAAAATGCTATGTCGATAACAATATAAACGTTGTTATAACAGTGTTTTTTAAAGTTTGCTACTCGTTGCGTTTAATGTTTATTGGAATTATATTTTTTATTACAATTTTCTTTTCTTCATATATATAGCTACGGCAAACTATGACCCTTATCTTATATATAGATTTGGTGAACTAGACATTTTTTAGGTGCAACAGATACTCAGTGGAATTGAAAAAGTAATTAAACCTAGTTTGTAAGTTATTCTAAATAGTTATTGATCAGCAATAAATTAAAAAATAAAATATAATTGTTATATAAATTTTTTGTCGAGAAACATCTTTTTGTTAGTTTAAAATACCTAATATTCTTTAAGCTATTTATGTGAACTCTTTTAAAGAACGCATATTAGCCGCTTAACTTTTTTTATTTAAATTAAAAAAAACTGTTTATTTTTTAAATAATGCAGTTCATCAGAATAAACTCATTAATGTTGATCAATAACTTCCGAAACAACATTCATTTGTAAAAACTGAAAAAAAACTTTGTTTTAAGCTGTTTGTTTGTTTTTTTGATATTTTTTTTATAGGATAGATTAAGTTTTAAAATGACTTTGGAACTAAAGCTCAAATGATCAGTATTTAGAATTAATTTTTCACCTTAATAAGATATAAAGGTTGTATATTATATCCAAACAGAGATAGGAGTGCTTAACTAGGGCAATTTAAGAAGTAGAAGAGTAGAGTGAATAAGTCCGTTGATGTTTGATAGCTGACTAATTGTGAGCAAGACGCTCAAAACCACAATATTTGTAATACATATTCATTGGAGAATTTTTACTGTTCAACTAATAAGAACTTAAAATGTTTAAAACATAACAATATATTATTTGATTAACGCAATAATGCCATATTCAAAAAAGTAAATAAATTATTTAATTATAAATACAAAAATAGTATATATGATTTTAAAATATCCACAAAATAAGGTTTTTATTTCATTCTAATTTTTTGTAAATTTTATACTCTATTTTTCAACACAATGTTTACAGTCCAAAAAAACTGTTGGCTTAGCAAAGAAACAGCCATAGTTAGACTTAAAGACTAATCTAAAGTAGCTTCCATTATTGAGTATCACTTTTGCAGCTACTCAGCACTTAAGATGATTTTTGTATTTACCATGCCCTTATTCTAGTTTGAATTTATAAAGATTTTACTTATTTTACAAAAAAACTAGTAAATCACATAAAAAATTCATTTACAAATAATTTATTCTTTTCTGTTGTTTTTTTTTCAAAAGATACCGTTTTTCAGATTTTATTGACAGTTTATTAAAAAAAAAATTTATTAGAACTTGTTGGAAAAATTTTAAAGAGCTAGTAATCTTATATTGTTAACTAACAAAATAGATTAAAAAATAAAAGTGAAGAAATAATTTGTATATATTCCCCAGACAGCAAGCTTTCATTGGCCCAATGTAAGTTTTAACATTAGCAAGTTTATTCCGTTGGGCCAACATTTAGCCGATGTTTTTTTTCGGCGTATTTTTTTCAATTCTGCAAACCTATTTTTTGCAAATATCGTCTATATTGGGCCAACATTTAGCCAATGTTTTTTTTTCGGCGTAATATTGCAATTCTACAAATCGGTTTTTTGCAATTATCGTACTACGTTAGGCCAATATATGGCCAATGTAGTTTAGGCTTAATATTTTGCCATAAAAAATTTTTTTTTTTTTTTGTTCTTTAATTTTACAACTTTGTAATTTAATAAATATTCGTTAACAATGTATATATATATACATATATATATATATATATATATATATATATATATATATATATATATATATATATATATATATATATATATATATATATATATATATATATATATATATATATATATATATATATATATATATATATATATATATATATATATATATATATATATATATATATATATATATATATATACATGATTGAGAATATAAATTATTCTCAAAATAAATAAACTTTCAATAGGAATATAGACTTAACATACTTGAAGATAACAAATAATTAAGAATTAAGAATTGAAAACATAAACAAATTTAAAGAAAAAAAGAAAAAGAAAAACGGTTCCGTTTTAAATACATAGATGCGTTATACAGTTTTAAGATACTTTAGCACAATTGTTAAACTTTTTGTTAAAAGTTTTGTTATACAGTTTTAAGATACCTTTAACAAAAGTGTTAAACAACTATTTACAAATTGTTAAATTATAAAATTTATTAATGCACTGTTAAATATAAAGTTAAAAAAAGAAACAAAAAAATTAAAAGAATATAGATATATCATCTAATAAAAAAATGACTTTTTTAAGTTTTTGTTTGAAAGAGTGATAGTTAACTTTTTGAGAAAAGTCAAAATTCTTTAAAACTATTTTATTCCAAAGTAATGCTCATCGAAATGAAATACAGTATTTTCCAGAATTAGTTTGATAAGCTGATTGACGAATATTATTATCATTTCGTAAAAAGTACTTAGTTTTTTCTTTTTTGTTATACAAATTATGAAAAGGTACAGAAGAAATATTGTTTTTACATTTAAACATAAATCATATAACGTTAAAAATATTAAGCTCATATATACTTTACCGTAGCCAATATTCGGCCAATGTAGTTTCGGATTAGTATAAACTTTTAAATTGTTTCAAAACATTTTTCAAAAATGGTATCGTTTGACAGAGTAAAAAAAGGTT